GTGTTTTTGTCTATGTATCCACACATGTATCAAGTTTCCGGTTAATACAATTCTAGCATGAATAATAAACATTTATCATGATATAAGGAAATATAAAATAACAACTTTATTATTGCCTTTAGGGCATATTTCCTTCAATGATAGCCCCTTTATAAAGAGATCCACCAGATTCTTAGCCAATTGATTATAGTCTAACGCTATTAGTCCGGAGTTCCTTAAGTGGCTTATAGATACCAATCTTCTTCTTATATGCTTTTCGGATTGCATGCTGTCATTTTAACTTCTTGCCTTGACAAACACTTTCTGATTGTCACGGTTCATGAGGACAGTTGTTATTGACTTTTCAATCACTGGCAAGTTCATCAAAAGCTTCTGAAGCCATTCTACTTTAGTGCAAGATTTTTTTCATGATGTGAATTATCCTTCCATCATAGAATTAGTTAATATGGTTTGCTTGCCAGACTTCCATGAATTAGTCTCACCTCTAAGTGTAAACACATATTTACTTGTGGCCAACATCTCACCGGCATCAGAAATCCAATCTACATCACTATTCCCTTCAATTATCGTCGTGTATCAGCCTATCAGGTATAGTGAAGTACATGAATCATAGTATTTTTAATGGAGCATCACAGGCAATGCGGGGCTACATCTCACAATAAGCAAGATATAGCCTGCGTGTAACAGAATTTCCCATTAGCCGCTTAATGCGGCAAATTGTCATCGTTTTGCACAGGCGGCGTGTCATGAACCGGCCATGTTCGTGCTACAAGTTCTTTTTGGTTTTAGGATTCTTCCTAAAGGTTCCAGTCAGTTTCAAGTTTTTTTTTGAAAGAATTTCTTATTTAGATTTCATTTCCCTATTTAACACTGAAGAAATATTGCTTCCCTATCTAACACCAACTTAAATTTTATTCTCAATATAACACTTCCGTCCATTTTTTAACCTAGCGGTGTTAAATGACGCATGAAATGACAAGTTTACCCCTAGTTCCGGCTGCAAACACTCCTCTAGGCAGGGTGGTGAGAACGGGCCAAGGTGCGGCAGACGGGAGCAAAACGAGTGTTGCGTGACCCCGTGGTGGAGTGTTGATTTTAGAATGCCAGATGGATCCACCCAAGTAGCGCAGGTACGTGCAATGCTAGCTCAGAAACACATGCAGCTTGATTAATTTTCCCTAGAAACAGAACATGTTCGTCTCTAGCTGCGTATGTACGTACGTACTTGAGCCTTGAGTCTTGCTTGCGCTAGCTTGGCAAATAGAACAAACATGCCGAAGAGATTTGTTAGTCATGTCGCTCCTGCATTTTTATTATAGATCTTAATCTTTTTTTGTTGTATAAAGCAGTCTTGACGGTGATTATATACACGTCTATGCACGACGAGAGACTTGATTAGAACTAGAAAACTTGAGTCTTTAATATAAAGAAAATAATTGGATAGATATTTGAGAGCGGAACTGTCATTTCATGTGCCATTTAACATAGTTTGCACAAAAGATGGATGGAAGTGTTATATTGGGAAAAAAATTAAAGGTTGTGTTAGATACGGAAGAAATATTTTTTCAGTGTGAAATAGGGGATACAATTTATAGACAGGGTCAAATAAGGAATTCTCTCTATTTCTCTTCTCTTTTTCCTGTTTCATTTTATAGCTGTTTTCTTCTGTTTTTTTTCTTTTTTTTCCTTTTTCAAGTTTTATTTTCTTTTTAACAAAATGCTTGAAAATTTCAAATAATTTTTGTGTGTTTCAATTTTTTCTTGCAAATTCAAAAATTGCTCGCCTTTTCAAAAAGTGTTTGGAATTTAAAAAAATCACCCATTTTCAAAATTTGATCACAAATTTAAAAATATTCAAGAATTTCAAAAGATACTCCCTATTTTTAAAGTTTTTTTGGAATTTTAAAATATTCCTACTTTTTAAGAAAATCCCTTTTTCGAAAAATTGTTCACATTTTCAAAAAATATTCGAAAAATGGAAAATTATTCATAATTTTCAAGAAATATTTGAAAACTACAAAAAGTTAGACATTTCAAAAAAAATTATTTTAGAAAATTTGAAATTTTCAAAATGTTTGCGTTTTCAAAGGATCTATCCTTTTTTTAATCACAAAATTAAAAAAATGTTCATGTTTCCAAATAATGGTCACTCTTTTTTCAAAAAGTGACCTCACATTTTTGAACCACTAGCTACAATACAACGCAAGCTATAGTAAACAGGAAAAAACACAGCATCAACCACGAGTTAGTCTGCCACATGTGCGTCATGCTGCTATTGGACACGAGACCTCCTATTCACCGCATTTAGCGCCGGTTATCGCTACGCGCTCGCACGCTTCTCCCGCATGGGCTAACCTAACAACTGAGCTCCTGCTCAACTACCCCTTTCATTCGCTCAGTTGATCGGTCCACCGTTGAGCGGTTTACCTGGTCGACCATTGAATAGTTGACCATTGACTTTCGAGAAAAACATGAATCATAAAAATACAAAAAAATGTTACCTATTTTAAAAAATCACAAAATAAAAAAACCATGAATTTGAAAATAGTTCACAATTGTCTTTCAAATAAGGAATTTGAAATGGTTATTTTTTTCAAAAAATGTGAATTGGGAAGAAGTTCACAAAGCTTGAAAAAAGTTGATGAATTTGAGAGAAAAAATCACGGATTCAAAAAATACTCATAAATTTGAAGAAAGTTCTGGCATTTGGAAAAAGGAGAAAAAGAAAAATGTGAAAACCGAGCAAAACCCAGGCTGGGAAAACCAAAAGAAAAATCGGCCGAAAAAGCAGACAAATACTTCAAAACCGGTGACAGTTTTTTTACATGGGCTGGCCATTTTTTACGTAGTGCCTAGGAAGGGGTTACAGTTCGTCATGGGCCGGCCCAGTTAGGGCTCCTCTGTGCGGGGAGGCCGCCAGTGGAGGAGGTCCCCGTTCGTTTGGTCGCAACTCGCAAGACTTGTTCCGTTCCCCGCAGCAGCAAATGCCCCTGACCGCGGGCGCGACCAGCGTGGGCGGCTGCGCGTCGCCGTGGCCGGAAGTGGTCGCCGGTGCCGATTCACCAGCAGACAGAAGACCTGCCGCGCTCGCCGCCGCTGACCCTTTCCCAGTGGTCCGGACGCCAACCTCGCATGCTTACCTGACGCCGCGGCGGGTCGCGGCATCATCTTTACGCCGATGTGATAGGTAATCAATCCCCTTGACTTGTGTGACTAGTAATGTTGATCCACCCTGTTCTCAGTAGTAATGTTTGATTCGCTCTCATCTGGTTGAAGAAGAGTGTTCCAGTTGTGGCATGTCTGACTCTTTCACAGAGGAGCACAAATGCACAATTATTGGTACAATACAGTGCAGTCGACCAGTCGAGCGCGGCAAGCTGTGACATGTCATCTGTCTACCACTCTAGTATCTCAGTGTCATCCTTTTTTTTAGCATCAGTACAGACACAAGCGCTCATATACACGCGCATACACTCATCCATATGAACACACACATACACACCCTACCTCTATGAGCACCTCCGAGAGACTGAGCCGGCATATTATTTTGAGATTTACGAAGTCACCGTAGGCGCCTCGTCGTCGACAGAAACGTCTCCTCCCACTGAAAGCGCATCGCCGGAAATCCTGAAATAAATCCAGGAATAATGCGAGCACCAGGATTTGAACCCTGATGGGTTGGGGATACCACTGTCCACTTAACCATCTCAACCACAGGTTGGTTCGCCTCAGTGTCATTCTTTGATGATAACGTGTCAATAACCCCCCGCAGATGTAAACCATAATACTCCTTCCATTCACAAATATAAGATGTTTTGACCTTTTCCTTTTTTTGAATTGGACCTATATAGAAACGTTTTACTGTGTTTGTTCACTCATTTCAATCCGTATGTAGTTCATATCGAAATATTCAAAACATCTTATATTTGTGAACGGAGGGAGTATCGATTAGCTTTTGATTTGAGCGTAGTACCTACGGGCAGCTGCTACATTTTCATCAGATTGTTGTTAGTGTCCAGGAGAGCAATAGGTCTTTTTATGTGTAGAGGACTAGATATATGACGATGGATTTCTGGCTACTTAGTATTTCACTTCCTAGGTTTGGTAATTGGCATCATATTTTACGCCTTCTTGACGTGTTCTTATAATACAAAACCAACATGTATGATTATTAGGATCTATGTTAATTTCTTCTGGCATCCAAACCACCAACTGCCCCTTTCCAGTCACCACTCTGTTTTGCTGTCTGTTGGTGCCATCCTTCCCCTTTCCGACGCCGATCCATCCACCCCGAAAGGGATTGGCAAAACCCTGCTAGACCGTAGGAGCACTCTACCACTAATTGTAGCACAGCTCACGTTCCTTTTCGGACGCAGTAGTCCAAAATAGTGGTAGGTACACTGACACTGTGCGGTTTTCTCAACTCTCAAGGCAATGTAGAGGGTTCATTTCCTTCTGATGTGTACCTGCCGTCTTGGTTCTTCTCCTCGAAATAAAAGCAGCTACATGTTCTGATGTTGCTCGTTAATAAGACAAACAGGCAAGAGCCACATCCAGGACAACGCTACTTTACACGCGGATGTTTATTCTTTCTTGGTGGCATTGCTGCGGAAGAAATCAATCTAGTCGTAGGTGTTCATTTCATATCTTGTAATGGTTTGACTGTGCTTGCCCATATTCTGTACTCTGCTTGTTGATTTTTTTGGCCTCGCTGCCTTACATCAATTATAATAAAATATGGCTTTGTGCATCAATGATTGGGGGTTTCAACCTCCTTTTTGAAAACAGTTGATCTTGGTTCCGGGACTCTACCAATTAGCAGAAGAGCTATTGATGTTAATTATTTTTCGGGACTCTAGCAACTATCAGATGGTAAGACAGTGATATGTTAAAGAGGGTCATTAAAGAAAGACTAGTGAAACCTGGCATATTAGACCACCACCACTTGATATCTCCGTTGCCATTTCATTTCATTGCGGCAACTTCGACGGAGGTTCACAATGGATATAATTGTTCCTGCAGTCGTAGGTGATATTGTCAACAGAGCTGTATCCTTTGCCATCAAGAAATGCTTGCAGCTTCCAGACATCGACAAGAATCTGGAGCGGCTACATCAGTTGCTTCTAAGAGCCCATACCATCACCGAGGAGGCCGAGGGAAGGCTTATCAACAATCGAGAGATGCTTCAACAGCTGGGGATATTGATAGAAGGGATGCAGAGAGGCCACTATATGCTTGATAACTTCAAATGTCGAGCCCTTCAACAAGGGAGAGGGGATGAGCAGGAGGTGAGTCAGTTCTCTGGATTATCTATGTTCAGTGCAGCAAAGTGTCTTCGTTTGTGCAATAACTACGGAAAATCAGTGCTCTTTGGTAGTAACAACATAGAAGATCTACAAGGTATGATTGCTACCCTAGAAAAGGCCATTGCTGACTTGAAGGAGTTTGTTATTTTTCTGGGGAACTATCCTCCAATCTGCCGCTAGCCTTTTCCGCATACTTTATTTTGGGAAATTGGTTGTTCTTTTGCCTGAAGGGATGTGAATGGTTGAACCACAGAAGCTCTTCGGTTAGAGTTTGCTTGCATCAAGAAGCTTACTGGTAGATTTTCAGGATGCTTGCATTTGGAAGCGCAAATCCTGACCTGATGAGCAACCAACGCCTGCATGGTTAGCCACAGTTATTGCAACAGAGTCTGAGGGTCCTCCCTTGCCTTGATTCGTTGATCAGCAAGAGACAATTTCAGTGCTCGAGTCTGGTGCTTGGCTCGTGGATATCTGATGGCATACACACACAGGCAGCTCCTTCTGTTTGGTGAACACCCGAATAAACTTCTGTTGAGAGATCAACCATGACACTGCTTGAGAATTGCCTGAATCCAGTGATGTGTTCTGGATTTCAGATTACTACTCCATGGCGCTTTCCAGCCAGAACCAACTCCTCCAAGAGCAAGATCACTGTGTCAGTAGGATTCATGTCATGATGTGATATGCGCTATTGCCTATATGAGAGATTTGATGCTCTGAAAGGCGAGGGTGGAGAACGAGAACACGCCGTGGGCAGGATGAAGAGAGTCTAAAAGCTGCATTTGATCTCTGTGTAAAAGCTGCATTTGCTGAGTAGTCTAAAAGCTGCAGTTGATATATGCTAATTAGTTGTGTGAGTAGTGAAGAGTGATTAGTGATTGTGATGCATGCTAGCACTCAAGCATTTGCTGGAAATGCTATATATATCTGTGGCATTTTGGATTCATTCTATGTCTCCATTTTTACTGTGTTCTTGGCGGGTTTTGTGTGTGTGTGCGCGCACGCGCGTGCGCTCTCATAATTTGTGCACTGAGCCTCAGCCGGTGCGGCGCTGCTGCGCCGTGACCGTGAGCTCGCCGGCAAAACAGCCATCGCTGCAGCGCTGCTGCTGCTGCTGGGCCTTCTCTGATGGCGCCAGTGAGGAGAAACACAGCCAAAAATCCTGAGCGCACCCGATCCAGTCGGACGAGCACAGGACCTGCAGAAAGGCACCGACAGCGCCGCCGCCGTCGCGCCGGGATTCGCACGGTGCCTGCCGTCCGTCTAGAAGCCACACCGCCGCAAGTAGGGACCGTACTTGCCTATCATCCGGTCCGACGATGCCGACTCATAATAATGCAGCAAAAGCTTGGATTGGCTCCAACATGGCCATGCTGATTGATGAGGAAGAAGATGCAAAGTCTCAGGCCAACCACACCCGACAAACGGGACAGATTGCAGTGAATCGCGTTCTACGCGGTGACAATGAAATCCGCCTTTAGGTGCATGCATCCGCGCCCGGCATCTTCTCTTCTTTGTCCTGCAACTGCAATATCAACTTGCTTGCTAGCAAGAGCCGGATAAGCTCATGATGCCCCGATCCCGATGTGTGCGGATAGCCTGGGGCAAATGGGTAATACGGAGTAGTACGCACGCGCCGGCAAGGTCGCCGTCGACTGAGCGCCGGACCCTGCCGATGTGACGGCTAATTAAAAGAGCCAACGTGCATAGCCGCCGTTCCGACGGCGAAACTTATGCTCCTTTCTTCCATTCCATATTTCCATTCCGCTGTTGAGTGGTCAGAGCTCATGAACATGGGCGTGATGTGCATGTGGCCACCCGACCCGCGCGTTCCCGCCACACCTGCACCACAAAAGCCAGGAGCAGAGGCGAGGCGAGGCGAGGGTATCCCGAAATCCTGCAACGGGCCGGGACGATTATTCCAAGCACAAACGACCAGAGCAACCCTACCTTGATCACTGCTCCTGTGACCATGGAGATGTTCCTGCCCGCGATCCTCAGCGACCTGCTCGGCAGGTCCGTGTCGTTCCTGGTCCAGAGGTGCCTGCAGCAGGGCAGCGCGGAGGACAGCGTCCAGCAGCTGCGCCTCGCGTTGCTGCGCGTCGGCGTCACCGTCGAGGAGGCCGAGGGCCGGCGCATCACCAACCAGGCCATGCTCCGCCAGCTCGACGCGCTCAGAGAGGCCATGTACGGCGGCCACTACATGCTCGACGCCCTCACGTGCGGCCGCGGCCACGCCGACGACGACGACGCGCCGGCGCCGGCCCCGTGCCGCCTCTCGTCCGTGCTGTCCAGGCTCAACCCCGCCAAGCGCCTCTGCTTCGGTGCCGCGGAGGTGCGGCGCGTGGTCGACAGGCTCGGCTGCATGATCGCCGACATGAAGGAGTTCGTCGTCTTCCTCAAGGGCTATCCTCGCGTCTGCCGCCAGCCCTACAGCGCGCACCTGCTCCTGGAGAGGTCCATGTTCGGCCGGCAGAAGGAAATGGAGCAGATCGTCGGCTTTCTGCTGCGACAAGGAGAAGCGGAGGGTGGAGCCGGCGTGCTCCCCGTCGTCGGTCCGGCCAGGGTCGGGAAGAGCACCCTCGTCGAGCATGTCTGCCATGACGACAGGGTGCGCATCCACTTCTCCTCGATCCTCCTCATGAGCGGCGACGACCTCGAGGACGACGAGAAGCTGAGCGACCCAGGAGACCACGGCCTGATCAAACACCACGGCCGTGCCTCGCACCCGCACAATAAAGGCTCGCTCGTGATCGTCGAGCTGGCCGGAGACGAGGTTCCAGACGAGGCGATTTGGAGGAGGCTCCGCTCCTCGGCATTCTGCAAGGGGGGTGTAACCAAGATCATAGTCACCAGCAGGTCGGAGGCGGCCCAGAGGCTGGGCACAGAGCGCGCGCTCAGGCTCAAAGTCCTCAGCCCAGAGGCCTACTGGCACTACTTCAAGACGCTGGCCTTCGGCGGCGCGAACCCGGAGGACCACCCGGGGCTGGTGGCCATCGCCATGGACATCTGCGCGGAGGAGAAGGGGTCGTTCATCGGCGGCAACATCGCGTGCAGCCTGCTGAGGGCCAACCCGGACGCCCGGTCCTGGCGCAGCGTCCTCCGGAACATGCGGGAGTACACGGAGAAGCACCGGCACCTGTTCGGCAAGCACCCGCACGACCTCCTGCGGAAGAACCGGCACGTCTACCTGTGGCGGCTGGCGCGGACGTCCAAGGTCTTCGTCTCCTACGGCTGCTACCAGGCGCGCCCGGCGCAGGAGGACGCCCCCAGGATGACGCTGCAGGAGGTGCTGTCCGGGCGGCCGGCGCCCAGCGGGAGGTTCGAGGCCCTGGCGTGGAGGTCCCAGATACCCCCTTGCTACAGCTACCTCATGAGCTGCTCCGTGCAGACGCCCGTCGTGCCTCGTGTGCTGGCCAGGAAGAAGAGCTCCCGGCTGGTGGTCTGATTCTGTTGACCTTGTGATTGTCACTCCATGCATGATGTAAATTCATCTTTTGCTCGGAAGGCTTCGGACTTGTACACGTGTATTGGCCAGTCTGCTAGTGTTCTTCAGCTTTGTACGGTCGCTCTGTAAAGTCGCGCTCTGTAATTGTGCGATTGGCATCTCCATCTTCTCAACTAAGTTTGTCACTTTAATATATTTCACAAAAGAACAGTGCTATACGGACGACACAAGATAGACGATTCATGCACGACAGTGAAATCCAGCCGCACATGCATGTGTACAGAAGAGCAATGGCCGCCCGATTTTTAATCGTCTTCACATTGTCTACGCTTTTGTCGTCCGTAGGACGGTTCCGTTCACAAAATGACAGCAAAGTTAGAGCTTTACTTTTTTTTATAAAGGACATTTTTATTAACTCAAAATATGGCATCAAGAGGATAAAAAGTATAATAAGCACACACCAATAGCAATATACACACACAAAAATAAAAAGGGACACGGTTAAGTCAAATAGGACCGAAAGTAGCCAAAGACAATTAGGATGAATGGCATATCCATAAATTATGTTGTCATCCATGTAGGATGAACACATCTCTGACCTCCTACTCCATGCGCGTACATACTGTCGTAAAAGAGGAGTGTTGTTTCACTCACATGTAAAATAGGGGTGTTGTTTCACTCGCATAGAGAAGATCACGAATGGAGCCAGTGCGCACACTTGTAGATAACATGATAACCTGCATAGGAGATATAATTTTACCACTAGAAACCACGTCATTTTCAAATAGCCACAACGACCATAACAAGACATACGCTCCCGCCTAATTAGCATCCTGAAATTATGAGGAATCTCATATGGCTATTGACTATACATGTTGGCAACATTGCAAGTTAGATAGAAGTTCAACACGAGTTGAATAATTGATTATGCAACACTTAAAAAAGTGCATTGCAAAAGATGTTTAATTATCTCATCACGACCTGGTAAGATAGTTATTTTGTTTAGAGAGCTCTCTACGCGACATGAATTTTTGAGACATGCAGCCACGCGCTGCCGAAATCCTGGGCGTCCGTCCGTGCATCATGATTATTACTTTTTATAGCCCGTTTGCAATACGTGACACGTTAATCACCAGCTTTCGCGAATACGCCGTGGTATACGTCACATCAATGGCCTAGGCGTCATTCAATTCTTTGTATGAATACAAGGTCCACGATGGCTCAGGTGGATGTAATTGAGCTCTCGCACTACTTTATAAGCAGAAAACGTTTGATCCTGATGGAAACGGGCCAGATCTACTGCTGTAACTGTACCACATTTATGGCCATTGTCATGTAGTCTGGACCCATGTGTCATTGGTAGTACTGCACGTAAAGTTACTGCAGAGGAACCTGGTGGAAACCTAACCAGCCAGAAGTGACGTTTTGTGGTAAAACCCCAGGGAAAATGCCTCCATGTATTGTAAAAAAGTTATTTGTTAAATTGATACTAAAATGGACGGTTTTATGGGCTACCAAGATATGTCATCGTTGTGAATCAACCTGTGGTTGAGATAGTTAGGTGGACAGTGGTATCCCCAACCCACCAGGGCTCAAATTCTGGTGCTCGCATTATTCCTGGATTTATTTCAGGATTTCCGGCGATGCGCTTTCAGTGGGAGGAGACGTTCCCGTCGATGACGAAGCGTCTACGGTGACTTCGTAAATCTCAAGATGATATGCCGGCTCAGTCTCTCGAAGGTGCTCATAGGGGTAGGGTGTACGTGTATGCGTTTATAGGGGTGAGTGTATGCGCGTGTATATGAGCGCTTGTGTCTGTACTGATGCTAAAAAAAAATGTCATCATTATAGTTTGATTGCACCACTAGCAAAATGAAAAAAAAAAGTTGGACCCAAACTTGTTTCATTGCTCTATCAGGCGGAAGTAATATTATATAAGGTGGGGCATAAACTAAGCCATTGTACTTTTTTGCCAGAAGTAAAATCAATATAGTTTTTTTAAACAAGGCATTTTATTTACTATTTTGCAGTAATCAAGGGAGAATAACTCCATTGGGTATTTGGAATTGGCCTCCATGTGTTGTGCCAAAAAGACATATCTCAAAATGGTATACAAAATGTTGAATATCTTTTCATGCAATGATAATTCATTTTAGTTGATAATTTTTTTACCCCAACGTGTGGAAATGCCAACACAGGAAATGCTCAAAAGATTTATATGTCAATTTGATACTATAGGGGGTGGCACGGTTTCATCGGCTACCCATATATGTCATGGTTTTAGTTGGATTGCACCACTATAAAAAAAACAATCGGACCGAAACTATCGAATGCATCGGTTAAATTCCTTTCATTGCTCTATCCGGCGGAACTAATTAATGTTATATAGGAGGGAACATGAACTAAGCCATTGCACTCTTTTGCCGGAAGTAAAATCAATAATGGTTTTTCTTTGAAACAAGGCAATTTGTTTGCCATTTTCCAGTAATTAATGTATTAATATGATCAGAGAACCTTGGTCATGGTCCGATCACGCCCCAGTGCCCCACCGTGATGATGTGGCCGCTTCATGGAAACAGTGTATGGAATTTTGAATTAGGGACGGGTACAAGGTTGGATGGGTATAGACGCTGGCCGCTCCACCCATGTTGGTGTGTTTGCATGTACTCCCTCCGTTCCAAAATAGATGACTCAATTTTATACTAATTTTAGTACAAAGTTGGGTCATCTATTTTGAAACGGAGGGAGTAAGAGTTTGTTCCTTCCATGGGTCTTGCTCTCATAAAAGTCCAGCTAACTTTTAAATGCCCCTGTGCTAATTAGAGCGAGTTATGGAGCATGTCAGGTCATCTGCTGCGCATGTCAGGTGAAAAAATGCGCGGCTATACTGAGGCTGGCCATAGTGGGGGTAACATAACTAGTATCATATACTTGGTACTCGCAAACATGCTTACGTGGCAGGAAATTAAAGAAAAGAGAGAGGGTCATAGTAACATAGGTAAATACCGTAACATAATAAATGTTATGCTACTATGTGTTATGTATGGCAATAAATAAGACCATCTATGATACTACTTTATGATACTATGCACTATGGATGTAGTATCATACACTAGTATCATATGCATGATACTAGTATATGTTACTCCCCACTATGACCAGCCTGAATGATCTACATGGGCTTGAAATCATTATACGGCTCACGCGTATTCAAGTTGCACGAATCACGCGAGCACATGCGGTGTGGATTCTAGTCGCGCGTGGCCGCATGTCCACTCATGATTATTCGGCTCTCCACGACATTATTCTAGGAATGAGGGTCTTTGCAGTCACGCACATCAAGGTATGTACACAATCTCCGCTCGACTATACTGCAATGGAATATATCCGTCACATGATCTTCACTTGTGAGAGGGCAACAGAAGTCTAGCAAGCTTTAGGATTGGATGAAATTAGTAGAGCTCTTTCGGTGGACAAATCTTGAGACTTCCATCAACGGAATCTCCTATTCTTGAACAAATCTTGAGACTTTCATCAATGGAATCTCCTATTCTTGTTGTCTACAGGAGTTGATTGTGACCGGGGCCTGGCACATATGATGGCGAAAGCGTGAAGCTTCTAATGGAAACAAATTGCGTCGGCGATGAGAACGGCGTTTGCGATACAAACCATCACCATGAACTATTATGTAGCTTCACATACGACGTAGTCACATGAAATAATGTAGCAGAAGACCCACATGGGATCAAACAAGTTTAATATAGATCTCTCATACTTAATGATGGCTCGGGTGCCTTGCCGGTAGTGCTTCGTGATGATCATGACCTAACTGTCGTCGATGTTACTTCATTGTTGCATCATGTTCTGGACGCTACAGCCGCTGAAGTGCTATCGAAAAAACTTGATTGTTTGTCAGTGCCTGTCAAGTTTGATTCCATGAAACTAGTTCAGGCATGCAATGAAACAATCCAAATTCGGGGCGTGTATACGATGAATTTGGTTGAATGCTTCCTAATTGCTCCCATAATTAGTTCCATCTCCTTCCAGCATTGTTTGAGGGAGGCAACCCGTATGGCCCACAAGTCTAGCATGGCATACTTTTTAGTCTAAGGGTTCTTTGTACTCGGGGAGGCGGGTTCTTCAAGTTTTATTTTGCATGATGTAAATCTGTTTAAACCTCAATTAATCGCACCATATTCATGTCAACAAATAATATTTATTTTAGGGAGAAAGGTAAATTCCAATTTTAACCCCCTACTTTGGTATTTTTATGCGAATTACCCCATTTAACATATTTTAATACAGGTCACCCATTTAGCGATTTCCCCAATTTATTACTCTTTTAATGTATTTTAGGTCGCACATGGCTCCTCTATTCATTCTTTTGCTGGAAAAGTGTTGTTGGAGTTATTTCTAAAATGATGCAACCTAGAAACAAATGTGATGAATAAGAATAAGATGAAATCAACGAATAAGGAGTTGCATGGCATGAAGAAGAAACTCATCAAGGTGGGGTGGTGTGTATGTACACCAGATGACCGTTATAAAATAATACTCCCTCCGTTCCATAATATAAGAACATTTTTGACACTAGCGTTTATGGGACGGAGGGAGTAATATATGACTAAGCCATTGGACCCCGCGCTTGCTTTACGAAAAAAAAAGAAGCAGAAGGATAGCATCTGGCCCATTCAGAAAATGTGAGCCCACAAAGGGCTAAACTACTATGCAGCCGATACATAGCAGCCGAACGTTGGACGATGCGTGATCTAACCGCTGGCCTCCACTTTGTCCAACGCATGCACGGCCAGATCAGTGCGATCGTGCGCAAATCGGCTACCCAGTGTCGTGTGTATAGCAACACTGCCACAAAGGGCCTATAGATATCTGTCGTCGCAAACCACTTCCTTCGTTCGGCTCTTCCTAACGTCAAGGCCCGCTTTCCTCACCCTCTCGGAGTATCGCGGCGTCCGGGAAGCGCCATCAGCGGAGGCGCGGCA